GGAAGGAAGGAAGGAAGGAAGGAAGGAAGGAAGGAAGGAAGGAAGGAAGGAAGGAAGGAAGGAAGGAAGGAAGGAAGGAAGGAAGGAAGGGAGGAAGGGAGGAAGGGAGGAATGGAGGAACGGAGGAACGGAGGAACGGAGGGAAAGAGGGTGGGAGAATTTCTGCTTTGTTCATTTTGCCTCCATGTTGCTTCCTCTTGTGCTGACTTGGCCTCAGAGCTCCTCTCAGCTGAATCCAAACATTCACCTTTCTGCCTCTCCAGATGGGCTCTCTTTCCTGTGGTTCCTAAATTCTTCGAGTTGAGCACAGCCAGATACACGGCGTCAGATGAAAACCAGCAGCCTAAGGAACTTCGGGATCTGCAGGAGGTTGGCACGGAAAAGGAGAGGGGGCGGCTCGCAGTCTGAACTCAAACATCGCTGTCAGGAGACTGTCGGAGGCTCGCTCACTGCGCAGAAGCCGCGCCTTTTACACTGACCACGAAGCAACAGCTCGTTAACTGGGCAGCACGGCAGCCATGCGAGTGGCAGACATCGTGCCAACTCGGGCCACTGTTTTATATTCAGCTAATGTAGACTTCATGCAGTGCCTTGGGATTAGAATGCTTCAATATTGCCTTATAAAAATATCCCACTCTGGTTCGTGGGCCGAGCTTCAGTTCAGAAAAGCTGCAAGGTTTTAGCTGCCAGCCTCTCTCGCATTCCTGTTTTTGTCTGTAATTTCTAAAGACTAGTAAGTAGACATGGCACTTTACAAATACACAAAGACAAGGGTCTGGCCTTCGGTCAGGAAAACACAACCCAAATGAAAATAATCCAAGCAGAAGCAGTAACAGACAGCTTGGGGAAGGCGGGGGGGCGGGGAGCAGGCATTGGCTTTGGAAAGGGAAGTCTAAAGTATTTCTGTTTTTGTTTTTGTTTTGAAATGGGAGTTATTTGAAGGGAGAAGGACAGCCAAGTCCCTCTGTGTTTAATCTACAGTCTCTGGTCTCCAGAGGTCACTCAATTCAAAAGCAAAGTTATTCAAACTTAGCCCCCGCCCCCCGCAAAAAAAAAAAAAAAAAACTGCTTTCTGTGGCAGACAGCTCTTTTTTTCCAATGGCTTTGTGGCTGACCTCAGCTCCCCAGACAAGTGTAGGCTTAAATAAGATAATTGCTTCCCAAGGCATCAAGCCCTGCTTGTAGGAAATCTCGAACACAGAGCACACCTCTTTCGGGAGGAGGCCACACCGGAAGTCACATCCCTAATTGTTTGTTTTATTTGCCTTCATCAGAAAGCTCTACTGACTGCACCAAGAAAAAGCCAGGCATCTAACTTCCTAGAAACAAACCAGCTACCCGGTACTGTGGCATAGTCAGTTAATCCAAGACACATTTTTATGCAAACCTCAAGTTATAACCCACATATGGTGGCAGATCATTATCCCAAGACTAAACTGAACCAGTTATATAGTTGGAGGTGGATCTATCATAAGCTGGAAAACTTTTCTTTTTACTGGCCTCTTTTAACAAGTGTAGGAAGGAAATAAAGCTCAAAAAGCATAAACTATTTTACATCTTGAATTGAACTTTGATAAAAATGGAAATACTCCAAAATAAAGAAATATTGGCAAAGGAAGAGGGAAAGATGCAAACAGAAATAGAGAAGAAAATGTGGAAATTAAATGGGTCTGGTACTGCTTTGACATTTCCTGATTTAGTTAATGAAAAAGGCAGGATACACAATTATGTAGTGACATAATCCCTAAGGGGAGGAGAGACAGAGACACAGAGAGAGAGAGAGAGACAGAAGTAAAAAACTAAAATAAAATGGATTAAAATAGACTCATGGTTATCCCTGGAAATTGAGATTATAAATAAATTTTGTTTTGTTTTGGGGCCTTTTGTGTTGTCTGTCTATAATGAATCTGTTTTTCTTTAACATAAAAAAAAAGCAATACAATTAAAAAAAATTTTCTGATTCAAAATGCAATGATCTTAAACTCTGAGTCTGACCGCATGAGCCCATAGACTTCAGGGTTGTTAAAGGTGGAGTTTCTGTGTGTGCTAGTGCAGCCAGGCCCGGAGGACCAGGGAGCACGCACACTCCCACACATTTTGCATCCTGCGCACAGATAGGGGTAAAGACTTTCCCAGCCTAAATGTATTTTAACAGTTCCAATGCCCAGGCTGCAGTAACAGATGACAACATAAAGTATTCTTTAGTGCTGACCTATTGTACATTGTTACCATTACCAGCAGTGGACACCGTTTGCAAGGTCAATTCCAGTTGTCAGTGATGTTTGCTTTACACCTTATGTGTGCGACCTAGTGTGAGCCTAACACAGTGGAAGCTGGTGCGCCATGTAGAGGTCAGGCACACCCTTCATGTCGACTTTAACCGTGGAGGTTGTTTCAGGAGCCATGATCTCTCCGTTCTGGGCCATTCCAGTGCCAGGGAGAGCCGGAGCTGGGAGAGCCTGCAGGAATTTGCTCGGGGCATGTGGTTAACCCACACCGTTGTGCAGAAGTTGGCTACACAGTGTCTCCTCTGCAGACCTTTCTGCTTCCTTGGCATTTGTCCTTTGGATCACTTTGTGGATAAAGGGTACCCTTGAAGGCAGACCCCAGATAGTTATTCCAGCCCACAGCTTAAAACTGTTCACTCCCATTTGTTTTGTTTGTTTGTTTTGGTTTTTTAAAAATATTTTATTGATTTTTACAGAGAGGAAGGGAGAGGGATAGAGAATCAGAAACACCGATGAGAGAGAAACATCGATCAGCTGCCTCCTGCACACCCCCCACTGGGGATGTGTCCGCAACCAAGGTACATGCCCTTGACCAGAATCGAACCCAGACCCTTCAGTCCGCAGGCCGACACTCCATCCACTGAGCCAAACCGGTTAGGGCTGTTTACTCCCATTTGTTTCTCTCCTTGAAAATCCTTGCATTAGAGGTTTTAGGTGAATAAGATCCTTTCCACAGAGATGCAAATGCCTCAAACAGAGTTATGAGCCATCAGTCCTTCGGACCTGAGCATAAACCCGTTGCTCAGATAGCTTCCCTTCTAATACCTACTCAGCTAGCATGAGAAATGGACATTTTGATGACCTATAAAGGGAGCTAAGGGGCAAGTTGGGATAGAAGGATGCAGCTTGAAGATTAAGGCAGCAGGTGGCACTTTGGCCCTGCGGCTAAGTCCTCCGCCTGCTGGATCCCACCGCTTCCCAGCAACCTCACTTTCGCTTCTTCCCTCTCTCTCCAGCATCTTCAACCTCTCTCCCTGGATCCTTTAATCAGTTTTGTCATCTAAACAAACATAAAACACTCTCCCTAAACCACACCCCACTCCAGCTTTGCCCTTTCTCAACCTAGACTTCCAGGAAGAGTTGCCTGCACTCCTTACTTCCCATGTCCTCACCTTCCACTCCCTCCTCAACCCTTCCTTTGTCTTTTGCTCACCTCCTTTCTATGAAACTGATCTTTCCCAAATTACCAGTGACATTCTGGCAAAATGCAATGGAAACTTCAGTTCTTGCCTTATGTGACCTCCCCAAAGCCCTTGATTCTGGTGACCTCTCTCTGCTTCTCAACTCTTTTCCTTGGCTTCTTTGGTCCTAGTCTCCCTGGGTGACTTGGTCCCCTCTCACTATCCACATGCAGATGACTCCCATATTCAGACCACCCTCCTGAGCTGCATGCCCCACACCCAACTGTCTACAGGACAAATTATATCTCACAGACACATCAATCAACATCTCCAAAATGGAACCCATCACATTCTCCTCTCCTCCCTCCCCGCCTCCGCCAACCCGATGTCTTGTGTCCTGGGGACTTTGTCCATGCAGAGTCCTCTGCTTGGAGAGTGTTCCTCTTCCCCTCCACCCTCTGACCCCTTCATCGAGCTGTTATTCAAACTCTAGGTCTCAGGTTAGACGTCACTCCTTCTGGGAAGCCTTCCTTGAACCCTCATGTCTGAGTTAGGTACTCCTATGATTTTTGGAAGCTCTCACTTGTAATTTTTTGTTAAATCATCTATCCTTCCCACTCTAATATTTACTCCCTGAGGGCAGGGATCTTTCAGTCTTGTTCATTATATCCTTTGGCCCAGCATAATGTCTGGCACATAAAATGCTCAATAAAAACATTCATTTGAAAAAATAAAACAGCTCATTTACAGCACTCAGGCAGCCAAGAAGGAAGGTGGGGAGGGTTTCCTTCCTCGGTCCAGCCCCCCTTTCCCCATAGTCCCTGTGCGTAAGGTCAGGCGCCACCACCCAGTCCAGCACCCTTTACCCCACATTCAACCTCATCGGATGCTGTGCAGCCTGGCGTCACCCATCCTGGCACACTCTCCACCGTGAATAACAATTTTTTCTCTGAGAAAAATATATTCTTAGTTCTTAACACTGACTTTAAAGTAAGCTTTTGTAATATCTTTTTAACGTTGAACACTATCTCTACCACATGTAAATGTGGATCACTCAGCACAAATACATTCACGGTTGGTTCTTCCAAGTAAAATAAATAACCTTGCCACAGGATAATTCTTAAAAGCAATTGGTTTATGTCTTAGTTTTTGTTTTTCTTTCTGGAATCTAACTTTACTAAAGAAAAATGTTCAATTCCAATGTAGTCATTTAAAAAAAATGCATTTTTAAAGTTCCAAATGCTTAATAGCTTTTCCTTTTGCTTTGGCTGGTTATGAAGATTTATACATATTCTTTGGTGCTTTAATTAATGCTTGTGGCTAAATTATGAAAGAAAGAAAAACATTTAAATAAGTTTATATAACTGAGTCATATGATTTTCCCAAATGAAGCCACAACACACAACACCTCAAATTGGAGACATCGGCTTGTCTCCATCAAAAGGTTTAGTGTGGGATTTGAACAGCAAATTTGAAAATAGAGCTACAGTCACCACCGTGTTTGCAAAGGTTAGTCGTGGACCCTGACTTCTGTGGCCACTACATCAAAGGATGGCAGCTGTTTATGAGACCCTGCTAAGTTGCAGCATACCTTTCTAATCCAATGATGGGGACAAGGGGACATCATGGCGTCACTGGCCAAAGAAAGGTGTTCACTGTGGGAATAATCAGAGACATGTAAAGAAAATGGAGAGTCAGAGGAGGCCAGTGAATAGATACATTATTCTAGCTCTGTTTGCAACTTGGCATCACATGAACACTCTTCCTCCCGGCGGAACTTTCAAGACAGTGCCTCATCACACTGCTAGACAACCACGGCCTGTTAGCCCCAACTTCGGGATCTCTGTATGAGCACTTTATGTTTCTCCTTCACTTTTCACGCTCACTGCACAAGGGCTTGCTCTTGACCTGGCCTTGCTTTTCATCTTCATTATGTCTCTGGTGTAGATGATTGTGTAGAATATAGGTCAGAGGCTGGGACCTGCCCTGTTTCTCTGTGTCCTGGGATTTCTCGCCTCCATCTATGGATCCTAATCAGAAGTTTCTCTACCCACTGATCATGAAGGCATCCTCTTCCCCTTATTCTATCAGGGAGTTTCTCTTCTTGTCTTCGGTGCCCCCTGCATGGTGCTGAGGATGTACGACGTGTCCCATCAATATTTAAGTCAGTGCTTCCCGGTGTTGTTTGGGGACCAGCAGTCTCACTTGGAAGTTTACGAAAAATGAAAATTCTCAGGCTTTACGGTAAACCTACTGAATCGGGGACCCAGGAATCTGTATTAAAAAGCTCTCCAGGTGATGCCTACACAGTATGAGAACCACTGCCTCAACGGCCAGTTGTTTGAAGGAGCAGCGATGGGAGATTATTCCTGCTCCTTCCAGTTCCTGGTGGAAGGGACTCAAACGCCTTGGCAGCAGGTGACAAGGCTCTCTACCCATGGTCCTAGACAGACAACTTTCTGAAATCATCAGCAAGGATTGCGGACCAGCCTTTATCGGCTGGGAGATTTCTCTTGAAAGTCCTAAAGTTTATGTTCTTTTCTCCCACTGGGGCCCCTGCCATAACCACTTTGCAGCAACCAGTCTGAGGTGCTCATTATCTGGCAATGCCACGTCCTTGTCTTTGCCCAAATGTGGGTTCCTGAATCTCCAGCAGTCGAGAACTGACCCCCACTCCCTCCCAAGGCTCGGCTCTGACACTGAAAAAATATCTAGTGAGCACTTGATGGGTGCCAGGTTTCATTAACTGTCCACGTCCACCCAACTCCTCTGCCCACTGGTGCCCGTTCCCTGTGGAATCCTGTCTTGCTGGCTGCCTGACCCACAGTAGGACACTCAGTCACCAAAACTTCAAAAGCAATAGCTGACGCTCTTCAGCAGGTTCTGCACTAACAGTTTCCAAACTGTTCAGTATAATAACCACATTAGAACACCTGCCTAGAAAATGAGGCCAAGCAGTATCTTACCAGTGTGAGCCATGCATTTTGAAGTTAAATGAAGTTAAATTGTAGGTTAAGCAATGAGTATAATAAGGCTATTTCGATCCCCCAAACTGAAGTCACTGGATAAAAGCAGTTAGGTCTGTCTCTATGTCCAATTTATTTCTGAAATGGTTGGTTGCAAAATATTGAGAAAAAAAATCCTCTTTCTGGTAAGCAGTTGCACATGGGAACAGTGTGCGTTTTTTCAGGATAACTTTCCTTGCAACCTGGGGACATGCTTTATCCGAGGTTCACTCACAGAGAGGTGTTTATATGGCATTGTAATGAACATTCTGGCAATCTCTGGTGTGTTAAAATTCGGCATACGTAATATTTGATTGTGTCTATTTTTTATAGAGTTGGGGAAATATTTTAATGCAATTTAAATCAAATATCTGTGGAAACTCTAAAACCCTTTGCAGCCCTCAGGGCTCTGCAGAGCACAGCAGTCACGTACAGAGGAACCAGGACAAGAGAGTGAAGTCACTTACTCAGGTTCCGCGGCTTTTTTGGGGTCAGAGTGGCTGCATCTCATGTCGCCTGGCTCGGGGATTTTCTTCTGTTTCACACGGACATCTGAGCTCCCAGCCTAGATTCCAAGTGCCTTTCGCTCAGGGCCGAATCTTCCAGAGCGGGAGCTCTGTTTATCCTGCTTAAATGAATTACAGAGTGGAATCTCCCCAGAGCCATCTCTCATCTTCAGCAGGAGGGGGCCGGGCAGGAATGAAGCTCCTGCTAAGTGGCTCTGCCTCTTCCTGGTGCCTGACCACGGCTGGCACACGGTCCTCTTAAAATAACACGGCTTTCCTTCCAGCAGCCAGGGGCTGGCAGGCTCCCGCGCTCCACTCAGCTCTTCTCTCATCAGCCGGGTCCCAGAAAGCACTTGCTCACTTAGATGAACTGCATCTGGCATGTGCTCTAGTTAGCAGCAAAAGAGATTATTCTGCCAGGTGGATGGGAGATGGGGCAGAGGAACAGCCGGGGCTTGAAGGAAAAGCAAACCCATCCAGGCATCTCAGATCACTTCAGACACCGCGGGCTGCCTCTCACAGACCCTTTCTCCTAGCAGCACGCTGTCTGAGACCAGCTCCCCGGAGAGGAAGCCATAACAGGGCAAGGGCAGCGGATTCTTGGAGAAAATGGAATTGCTCCAGCAGGGTTACAGCTCAGTGCAGAAAGGTTGTGAAACCTTCCAGTTTGGCTCCTCTCTCTCTCTCTCTCTCTAATATATATATTTTATTTCAGAGAGGAAGGGAGAGGGAGAGAGATAGAAACATCAAGGATGTGCCTTTGACTGGAAACCAAACCATGACAGATGCTCAACCACCAAGCCACGCTAGTCAGGCCAGTTTGGCTTTTCTTTGCGCCTCTGAGAACTGGCAGCAGCTCCTCCTGCAGAACGTGATGATGGGTGTCTCCCTCTGCTCGAGCCGAAGCTCTGCCCACCTCCACACAACCTCAGAGATTAGGTTTCCTGTGTGCCTGTCATTAGGGGAGAGAAATTCAGTCCTACGGGCCCCAAACAGCTCACCCAATAAAGCCCCTCAGGTCTCCTAGCAACTTGCTGTGCTTTGATTTTTCCAACTATTTTTGCAAGGTGGAATTTAATTTAAAAAAATATGAGGGCCCTGTCCGTAAAACCGAGAGAGCTGGAACACAGAGCTTTAGTTGACACTGATCCTTTTAACTGGCCCACTTTATGGGGAAAACGGGCCCAGGACTTACTTCCTGTTGGAATTAGAATCAAATGAATTGCTTTAATATTTTTGTCTGTCAAAAAGAAAATAAATCTAAGAAGGCTGCAAGCTATTATGTTCAGGCCTAACCTTTCTCACATGGAAGGTATTGCTGGTTGCTTCTCCAATATCCACCCTCTTACTCCTCGTGAGAAGAAATGGCTGGCAATGTGCTCAGGTGAAAATACTCGTATCCTCAGACTCTCCTATACATGGGAGTGGCCCAGTTCTGGCCAATGACATTTAAACGAAGTCTACAGGGTGGGGCTTCTGATGAAAATGGATAGATTCGGATAATATGGGAATCTGCACGCCCTTTTTTCTGTCTTATTCTTCGTTGGTATGCGAACATGATGGCTGGAGGCAGAGCAGTCACCTTGCAACCATGAGGATAAACTTCTCACATAAAGAATGTGTGTGGGTCCTTGATGACTTCCTTAAACAGCTGTCACAGCCCTTGATTTCCCACCTCAAAACTTCTCAGCTGAGCAAAATATAACCATTTGGTCAAGACTTTGTGTCTGGGGTCCTGTTAAAAGCAGCTAAATGCAATTCTAATCAATTTGCTTTCAAAACACAAACTTTACACCATCACTTTAGGCTAAGGAATGGTCAGTCCAGCTGGTAGACAGAACAAGGCTCTCTTTTCTCATTTCATAACATGAGGAAACTGGGGTAGTGAAAAGTATAAAGTGTATAACTCCCCTCTTGCTGAGCCAAATTCTAGCTCTCAGTCCTCGACTTCCTGAACCTCTCAGCAGCATTTGAACCATTGGCTACTTCCTCCTCAACATTTTCTCCTCCCTTTCTTCTGTCTTTTGACTTCTCCATGTTTTCCCCTCACTAGTTTGGCTTACTTTCTAGCCTCTCCTGGTCTCTCTTCTGCCTGCCCCTTAAGTGCAGATGTCTCCCAGGGTCTCCCCTTCTCTCAGCATCCCACACTCCCTTGCGTGGCAATCTTATGTCTACCCATGGCATCCACTATCACCGCCTAGAATTGGACTAAAATGGCAACTACTGACATTGGGAAAATATGTCTATCAGGTATTGCTAAGAGAAAAAAAGCAGCTCACAGGGTAAGATGTGCTGCTTGATTCCATTTCTGTAAAGTAGAAGGAAGAAAGGAATGTATGCACACAAAAGATATCTGAAAGGCTATATAAACAAAATGTTAACAGTGGATGGGTGGTAGGACTTAACTCAAATGTAAAATTAACGCTTTAATCCCTAAGGGTTGAGAGGACATATAATTTGCTTCAATGGATTTCCAGTCATTTCCAGAGTATTTTCCCATTGACACCCTATAGGTACTTTCTTGTCCTGTAGACAGTTGGTTATTTATTCATTCAATGAGTCTTTGTTGTGGGACTGCTCTGTGCCAGGAGCATTGTAAAAACAAACCCCAAGTGCAAGGAACTCTCACTTGAAAGCAACTGGGTGTGTACTATCTTTTAAATCGACGGAGAAAGGGCATCATTCTCATAGTCACATTGAAGGGGTTTTTTACAATATGTGCTATGCAGCAGCTCCCCCTGGCATCTTTCCTGACTGAGCACCAGGCATCCCGCCCAGGCCGAAGCTGGTTGCTCCTCCATGGCCCCTAGAGATTTCCTGGGCTGGGGGCTGGGCCCCCAGAACCTGCCGGCCTGTTTTCTCCGGGCGCTCTATGAGATGACATCACCAGGAGGCCTGCCAGCTTTTCTGATGAACCCTAAGCACGCCAAAGCAAAAACTTCAGGAAAACAACAAAACTATGTCATACGCATGTAGGGGATTCCTGTTGTACAACCTTGCTGCTTTCAGAACCCTGACCTCTGACCATTATTCCCTTTCCCCTTGTCCAGCTCCAATTCCATAATGCTTTACTCTTGCAAAAATCCTCAGGTGATATAAGACAACCCTTGCCTAAGGTGCAGAATAGGATATGATGGTGAACAGGCTCAACCTCCTTCACTTCCACCATGAAACCTGCTCACCCAATTGCGGCTGGGCCTGTGCTGTCCTCTCCCCTCCCGAGACGGTGAGAGGAGCGGCCCTTCCCCTTCGTTTATGACCAATCCTGGGCTTGTTCTCTGGATCCCGGCTTCTTGCCTCTTCAGGAGTCTCTCTCCACTGATCATCCTCTTTCTCTCCTTCAGCTGCTCTTCCTCTAAACTAGTTCTGCCTCATCAGCACTTCAACACACTTAAAGTCTCTTCCAACCGGGGACACACGCTGAATGGATCGATTGTGTTATAAATTTTAGATGAGGATGAAGCTCCATGCTGTTCAGGCTGCATCTTGCCCACAGGAACAAGTGCTGGGCCTTGGGGGGTTGTAGGCCATTAGCAGGTTGCTTTTGTACTGAACATCCGGCAACATTTTATTCAATTCTGAGATCTTCCTTGGTTACTGGCAGCAGACCACCCCCTGGTGGGGAAGCATTCTGGCTTCTCTGGAGAGGCCTCCGACCCCTCACGGGTGCAGTGCTCTCCCCTCCGGCTCCTGAGCAGTTGCGGGATGGGCAGAATGGATGGTGATGGGCGCTGCTGGCAGGCACCTGTACAGCACTCAGTTACTCCATCCTCGGACACGGGTCGTCGGGGCATGTTGGCTCCATACGCCACAGATCCTTCAGCTGGGGGGTTGATGTGTCTAGTTTACTTTAAATTAACTAGTCAGTGTGCTCAGTGGGTAGAGCGCCGGCCAGAAGATTGAAGAGTCTCCGGTTCGATTCAGAAAATGGAAACATGTACCTTTTATGAAAATTTCAGCCAGCTTTTCAAATACTTCCCACTTAGGTACCAAGGATGTGTTCTAGTTCTTTTGACATAAAACACATTTAAGTGGCCCTCATTTATATATTTATTTTTTTGTTAATCCTCACCAAAGGATATTTTTGCCATTGATTTTTAGAGAGAGTGGAAGGGAGGGGGAGAGACAGAGAGAGAGAAACATCAATGTGAGAGAGAAACATCAATTGGTTGCCTCCTGAACATGCCCCCACCTAGGCCAGGGATTGAGCCTGCAACCAAGGTATGTGCCCTTCACGGGAATCGAACCGGAGACTCTTCAATCTTCTTTCTGTGGTGGTAAACAACCTGCTTCCCTATTTATAATGGTCTGGCCCTCTAGCAACTTTAGCGCAAAATTATAGCTAATTTGCCTACAGACGTCAGGTGGTCATAATAATCTGGCCACTCATTGTAAATGTCCATTAGCATTTTAAAAATATATTTCTTTATTGATTTCAGAGAGGAAGGGAGAAGGAGAGAGATAGAAACATCAATGATGAGAGAGAATAATTGATCGGCAGCCTCCTGCACCCCCCCCCCTGGGGACTGAGCCTGCAACCTGGGCATTTGCCCTAGGCCAGAATCGAACCTGGGACCCTTCAGTTCACAGGCTGATGCTCTATCCACTGAGCCAAGCTGGCGAGGGCCATTAGCATTTTTTTAAACTCATCCTTCAGAATGAAAGGACTAGTTTTTCACTTGAATCAGTAAGAGGGAATTCTGATACATTTCCCCCCAAATCTCCTTCATTTACCGGGAAGGGGAGTTGCAGGAGCGCTGGAATTCACCAGAGATTGGTCAGTGTAAGGGCTGCATTCAGGTGACTCTCTGGAGGCTGTCAGGTGGGCAGGAGTAAGAATTGGGTTAGAAGTTGGCCAAGCTGTTTTTGAAGAATCAACTCTTATATGTAAAACTAGAAACTTATAACTCAGATATGAGATATGATCCACCATCATCACCCCGTGTTCCATAGTGTCTGAGGCTGAGGTAGCCACCGCATGAGGTGCCGACTTTTTGTGAATTTGGTTCCTGGGGTTGGCCTTACACTGGTTGGAGCACAGAGATGTTCAAAGGTGTTAGTGCTCATCCCTAGCTTCCCCCAAGCCTGCAGTCCCCTCCCCTCCTCACTGTACCAGGTCTCCTGGGCATCACACCCCTCCTCCCCCTGAAGGATGCCAACCCTTCAAATGCTGCCTGAGC